GGCCCCCTTGTCCCCTGCCCCCAGGCCTCTAAATCCCTACGGCAGCCGAGTTTGCACGGCCCACCTTGGTTTTGCATGCCCCTGCCTGAATTATTGGTGCTTGACTTAAGACGTGGCCCATGCTTGCTGGTTTTTTTTTTAAGAAAAAGCAAAAAAAAAAAAAAGCTGAGTTGTGATGATGCTGTGTTTCTTGCAGTCCCTCTCCATGTAACGTTGACTTTCTTCAGCTTTAGGGTACACCTGAAAATCCTGAAGGCGGTATTAGGCTCTCTTTTATGTAAGTAAGTATGAAAAGTGGTAACCAAAGCAGCTATAAAAATGTGCATATTGATTCTGATAACACTTTAACGTTTTCCTAAGGGGCTAAATAGATGCCTTGTGTAAAATAAACTGAGGTCGTTAGCTTTTTTCCTATGAGTCTTTGCTTTATGACGATAGTTGTTGAAAAGGAAAAGTTTTAACCTACAGATTTTCTGGCTGATTGTGAAAGTTATAAATGCATGAGTTTTCAATGTGTAAAACAGTTTGGTCAGAGACATGCTAAAGTATATATTACAAAAATGAATGTTAAAGAGTAAAGAAGTGTAACTGCTTTCTGGGACCTGGTCTAACATAAACATGATGTGCACTTCACTTGAATGTGAACGCTCATTTTAAAGTTGATGGAATTATCAGTGGCATAAAGATGAGTAAATTTTTGAATACTTAGGATTTGGAGAGAGGGAGGATGTCTTTACTAATGCTAGTGAAAATTAAAATGTTGTTTGATCTGTCAGCTTTGTGTGCAACCTTTTTGGCCTACATTATACAGAGCTTGCTTTTTTTTTTCTTTTTCTCTTTTTGTAGGAAGAGGGAGTATTTACATCCTTCAGAATGCCCAACTCCAATGCTAAATTTAATTGTAACCATAGAGGTGGTCAGGAAGCCGGCAGGCGGGAGTTAGTTTCCAGGTCTTTGCAGAGTGCTCAGCATTGCCTGGAGGACCAGGATTTTGGAACTGCATATGCTCACTATCTCTTGGTCCTAAATCTAGCTCCTGAGTTAAAAACTAGCGTCAAGGTAAGTGCTCTTTGAATTGCGTGAAACAATTTCATTTACTGTATTCCTCTTAGGTCTTTGTGACATGTTTTGTGCTTGTGATTTGTTGTATGTAACTGATTTTCCTATTCAGTCTTCAAAAATAAAAGCAGAACATAATAATAATGGAGACAGGCAGTAACTTGTTTAATAAGCGCTGTATGCCTGTGGGATGGGAATTGATACAGTATTAGTCTGTGTGTGTCAACTAAGACTAATAAAAATAGGGCCATGTTAGTATTGTCTTGTCATATAGCATGCATTAATAGACATACGGACTCTTCTACTGGGTGAAGATACTCTGTGTGTGGATATCAGAGAGCTTATTTCTGCTTCTTCAAGTGAGCCAGCTAACTTGGGATGATAGCAAAGAATGGTATGCTGCTGCTTAGAGAAATAAGGCTGTTCAGGTGCATGTCAGAATAACTCTAGATGTTTTCAGGGCTCAGTTCCCTACTTCTGGTAACTACCAGCAACTCAGTGGTACGTGTTTTTATTTTCTAGGAAACATTTCAGTTTACTCTCTTTAAATGGGCAGAAGAGCTAGATTCTCTGGCACGGATTCAAGATCTGTTTAACTGCTATGAACAAGCACTTGAACTGTATCCGAATGATGAAGTGATATGTAATAGTATGGGAGAACATCTTTTCAGGTTGGTTGTAATGTATATGCGGTTTTGGTAAGGTTTACATTTAGTGTTGTATCTTAATAAACAAGGCCAAATTCAGCAGAGCACATAAAAATGTGCTTAAAAGAGGTAACTGCAGCATATGCCTAATGCTGTGTAGTGTGTACTGTTGAACTTCAGATCTGTTTGTCAGCTTAAAATAGAGTAGCCAATGCTAAAATAAATGTTGACAGTCACAGCAAAACTGAAAAAAAAAGTAAAAGCACTTTTACTGAACTATAACTTAGAAGTAAAGCTCTGCCTTCAAGTATTTTCTAACAATGTATTAAGAAATTACTAAACAAAAAAGAGACCAGAATTGTTACGTCACTGTGTTAACTGTTGTTTTGATTAACCTACAATTTTTGAAGTTCTTCCTTTTTTTTTTCCTGTTAGATCCTTGAGAACTACTGCCTTTAAATACTGTCTTTTAATTCTGGTCCTTCTTGAGGTCACATATAACAGACCTTTGAAGTGAAGACGCTGGTCATGCATACTGTACTGTGTAGGGCTGTTCTTAAAGGTTTGAGCTTATGCTTTTATTTGTTAGTGCGAAGCATTGTTTTCCTGCTTTCTCCAAACAGTGCAAAACATGGTGCTTTGCTGTTGCTCAGGGTTCTAAGGTCTTCTGAGACTAGACTTTTAAGACTGAAATCATAGGTCCTGGATCCAGGTAGTTTTAATTAGGTTTGATTTTTGTGATTACTTTATTTGTTTGTTTTAAGGAACAACTCTCTGAGCATCGTATTAAAATGTACCTGTTTCTTGCATTTCGTAGATTTTGGGTTTTTTCAGTGCTGTCTGATTTGAGAATATGCTATAGGTATCATAAAAACCTGCTTCAAGTTCTCAATTTAGTTTCAAAATTACCACTTAATGTGAGTGCTGGCAACTCAAAATTTGGTTGTTTTACAGTGTGTTCCAGTTAAATACAGTAAAGCGGTTTCAGGGTTTGTAGCATTCTCTTGACTTGAAAATCTGTGACACTGAATTGCAAAGTTGCTGCTGTCATATTGTTCCAGCAAGTTCTTGTAAAATCTGTTCTGCTTTGTCAAAGGATGTAGTAGTGGATGAAGACTGGTGCACACAATGGTATTTTTTGACAACCTTTTGCATTTTAAAGTGATTTGATGTAGAGCTGTAAATCATTCTTTTTCATAAGGTAATATGAAAAAGATAATCTAACTAATGCAAAATATTTCCATTGTCTTCTGATTGATGTAAGACCTCTTTACAGACCCACAGATATTCACAGATACTTGGCAGCTGAATGCATGCTTTCTATTTATTTGTCATTTTTCCTATTAGAATGGGCTTTAGAGATGAAGCAGCTGGATATTTTCATAAAGCAGTGAAGCTTAACCCAGACTTTGCTGATGCAAAGGAGAATTTTTACCGTGTTGCAAACTGGCTTGTGGAACGTTGGCACTTCATCATGCTGAATGATACCAAGAGGAACCTTACTTACCTGAGAGCAATTGAGAATGCTGTCCGCTCAGGGTGCAAATCTGTCCTTGATATTGGAACAGGAACAGGAATCTTGAGGTGTGTCATAAGTGTATATTTAACATGAACTTAATAGAAATGTATTTGTTGTCTACCGAAGTTTGGTTGCTACCAAAAAACCAAATTACTTTGATGTCTTTATTGAGACACAACTTAAGAAAGGAAACAAAGCTTTCAGAAGTCAGTGAGTCTGGAGATTAGTGTCTACAGCATTGTTTTAACTCTTTTCTTTAATTATTTGTTGCAGATGCTTTTTGTGCCAATAACTGCTGTATAAATTGACTCACTCATGTTGGTTTTGGAGTTGTAATGTCACGTGTCCTGTCTTCAAGTATTGAGTCTAGTATAAAGAGTGGATTTAGCATAGCTGGGGGAGTACCTTTATGCTACCTGTAGTATCTATTTTTTTTGGTGATGGCGTATCAAGAGGATATCAATTTGTGCAATATCGGTGTTCACACGAGCTACTAGTTCATTTACATGATGATTTTTAGACTTGAACTGTTAGAAATATGAAGCAGATGTGGAAATAGAACTTAAGAAAACTCAGTAAAATGTCATGCTTTACCTAAAATGATTTAAGCTGGAGGGGAAAAGCCCTGATTCTTGTTTTTCAGTATGTTTGCAAAAAAAGCAGGAGCATCTTTTGTCTATGCCTGTGAATTATCTAAAACAATGTATGAACTTGCCTGTGATGTGGTGGCAGCAAATAATATGGAAAGAGAGATCAAACTTCTGCATTTGAAGTCACTTGATATAGAAATTCCAAAGCACATACCAGAAAGGTACGTTGTTGTGCTCTGTTGTGATATTATTTTTAATTTGCTCTTAATTTAAGAAGATCGAAAATATCCTGTGACCTAAACAGGAAATAACTTTGCCTATGATATTACCCATAATGTGAGAAGGTTCTCTGTGTGTTTTATGTTTTTATAGAGCAGTGCAGAAATGATAACATGTTCTTTAGATTATACTAATTTCTATGATAGATCAACAGTGTCATAAATTAAGGAGTTTAATTCTTTGGTGAGCGGTTTGGGGCATATGCAATTATATTGCAGCAATAGGAAAAGAGAAATTAGATTACTACATCATGAAAGTAATTTTAACACATTTTTATACCTAACAACTTTGTGGCTCCCTTCTGCAGCCCATTAATAGGATGGAGGTAGGTAATAGAGCCTGCAAAGGAAGACTGTTTCTGGGATGTACCACACCCCTGCAACTCCACGTCAATGTCTATATTTGTTAGAGAGAGCAGAAATTACAGATTGTCTGCCTCTTCTGATCAGGGAGTTAGGGAAAACCTCCCTGCCTCTCTGTCCTCTATGGAGAGAGCTACTGTGTTTGGAGGTGAGAAGGTGCCACGCTGTTCCTGGCTGTTTGCATCTGGAAGGCTGGTGGTGACTGGTCTGACTAGCTGTGAAAGTCAGCACCCTGCCATGGGAGGGACCCATAGGGCTTTGACTGTGGCTTTAGAAATTGCAGTAAAATTCAGGGGAAGGGTGTTGCCATTTGTCCTGTGAGAATAGTTTTTTGTGTTTGTATTGAGCTTCTTGTTTGTATGGACGCATCTGCCCACCTGTCTAGCAAAGATCCATGTGCTTTGGAAAATTAAGTAGCTTATTTTTCCAATATTAGATAATGTCTTCTAGAGCATAGTAAGAGCTACTGGGACAAATCAGCAGCTTGGAAGTGCTCTTGGCAAATTAGAATTTGATCAGCATTACAGCTTTTGGCATATGTGATCTGGGCTTTTTGTGCTACCTTGTTCCTCCTTGCTCACTACCCCATTCAGCAG